CGCATGCTCTCGCCTGAGAGAGACATAGAGACAAAAAGCGAGAAATCACCTCCCAGGGGGGATGGTCACGCCGCAATCCCTTCTCCTCCATTCTCCTCTCAGGATATAGGGCACGCACGCACATGCGCCCGACGTGAGTTTTAAGCCACCGGGTCCGGGACGCGAACCGTGGTCGACTACGTGGGAGTCCAGCGACATAGCCATTACGCTAACTGCTGGTTCCCAATCAGACAATATTCTTATGGAAGCTTTTGTAAACTTGCTGTCAGTATAAGACCACCAGATATCCTTTGACCCTGTAGTTATCTTGGTCTATGTGGATCAAGTCCTATATATTATTCCCAGGGATACCAGCTATAACTCATACTACACCCTATTTATGAATGGGTAGGGCATACTCCTGTATTATTTAAATCAATTTTTCTTGAATCCATGAGTTTAGCCAATAAGAAACTTTCTGATATCCATTATGCTAATTACCAAACTAATGATGATACCAGTTATCACTCATTTTCCCCCTTAAAGCTTATCCTTTTATTTTTCTCATGAGCAAGACAGCAACATCACCCCCAATAGGTTCCCACTGCCAAGATGCACTGCCAACCCCAGATCATGAGCACACAGGTGTTCCTACACGCCCAGGAGGAATGTCAACCCAGAACTCTCCTATGTTGATCAGTCTCCCAGGTGTCATGTTCATCTCTATATCACTGTCTAGCCCTCCAATTACCGCTCACTTCTATCTTCCATTTTTCCAGTTAACTGGCACCTGGTTCTCCAACTGCCAGCCTCCCGAACTGAGAAAATACATTTCGTTTAAGTCGTTCCAGTTTCTAACTCGCAGCCAGTCATGGTCTAGAAGTATTGGCAATACAACAAGACTACACTCTCATAACTTAATACAATATATTATTATAATTCTATTGTTAACTTCTTACTGTGCCTAATTTATAAATTAAGTTTATCATTGGTTTGTGCATATAGGGAAGAAAAGCACAAGAGGACTTAAGATAGTTCATGGAAAAATGAAATTAAAGCACAAGTTTGGGTGCAACAAAATTTTAAGATCCATTCATAGTTTGTAATAAATACATTTTCCTGGAACTTTTGAAGACCTCTTGTATATAAGGATCTTGTTTGGTACTATACAGAGTTTCGGGCATCTGCTGAGGGTCTTAGAACAGACCTCTCACAGGTAAAGGGAGACACTTTTGATGGTATCCTGAGCTGAACAAGACAAACATTCACAAACGTACATTGGAGGAAGAGCAGCTACATTGTGATGAGTGTGTTATTAAAATTTCTCGGAGCCATTCAAAATAGATGTCCATTAGATAATTGGATATATCCAGCTTTAGCTCAGCTAAGAGGTCTGGGTAAGTTTTCTATAATGATGACTTTATGGAAACTGGTGAAATTACCTTAGAGAATGAAGTCAGCTGATGACAATCTGAGAAAAAGCAGCAGTTTAGGAGTAAACATGAAAAATTACCCAGAAGTACTTTGATCTTTCAAATAATTTTAAGACATACTGGTAAGTAAGTATAGCAGAATTTGTGAAACATTTAAAAAAACAGTAAAAAAACATTTATGTTTTGTGACTATGATTTTTGAAATTATGAAAGTATCATTAGCAACATCAATCTTTCTTAAGTTGTAAAACGTCACCATGTGTTTCCTAGAGCTTTATGTTTACAAAATGATTTGCAACCTGTTTTGTTTGGCAGAATTTGTTTTGAATATACTATGAAGCTACAATTTTTTTTCTTGATTCAATAATAAGAGAGCACCCCAAATTACATCTTGTTTGTCCACTGTCTTATTCTGATAAACTCTTAAGTAAATATTTGCATTTTAAAAGGAAGAATATTAAATGTATAGTAAATTTAATTAACATTCTGATCTTCTAAAAACATTTAGTCTTGGCTATTAAAAGTGAAGAACAGATTCTACATATATTTTACTTTGGGATTATGTGTTCTCAGCATTCCCAAAAAAATGAGCATTGAAAGTAGTGGAAAATAACACTTAATCTTCAACATTAGTAAAAGTGAGAAAATCAGCCAGATCTTAGAACAGAGAACCAATAGCATAATGTCCTTTTATACTACGTCCTAACTCATCCGCTGTAACCATCAGTCCTTATTTAGCAGGTTGAAGTCACCACTGTGGTTGGGCAATCATCTGGAGCTGAAGTAAGACTGGGAGTTAAGTGAAATATAAATGTATACCAAGTGTGATTAAGGTGGGAGAAAAATTATATATAAAAATTGCTGAGGAGGTGGGGGATCAGTATGTGATTGGTTTGAATTTCTGAAGGGATCAGTCTCAGGGTTAATAGACAAAGAGTGTTGGGTTTTGGTTCAGAACCCGGCCTCAATGATTCTAGGGTGCAAGTTGCAAATAACTGGTTTGAATTCAAGGAAATATTTAACCATTATTTGTCTGCCTTTTTTCTCTTAGAAAAGTATCAAAAAATTGACATTATACTCTCCTCCTAACTTAGCTATATCTTATTTTACAGCATCCTATCTGCAAAGCAGGCTTTTCATGTTAGATGATTTGTCATTTCTGAGAGCGCTAACGTTACTTTTGCTTTGAATTATATTTGTCTGTGTCCACATTGTCTGTTAAGGTCTGAGCTCCGTAAGAGTAGGAAAATATCTCTTGCATTGGGTGTCTCTAGTGAGTATCGTCTAATCATTAGATACTTGTTGATATGTGAATGAATGAATGAATGAATGAATGAATAAGATGTACAGCTCAGCTAACCATTACTTGACTGTGACTTGAGACTAGCAACCCCTAGGCTGCTACATGCTGTTACTGTCAAGGTGTGCATGTCATGGTCCTTGTTATGTCCTCCTTCAAATCCCAACTAAATCACAAGTAGACTGTGGAGGAAGTGAGAATAACGAGCACCATATAAGACAGTACCAGTAGGTGAGTCAATGCAGAGTAAACATTTAATACTTCATTGTGTGTTACTTAGGATCACTACACAGTTTAGCATATAATGAAAGCACATTTTACTTGATGAGTATCTTTGGTTTGTGTATCTTCAAGATGAGGTGCTGGTCTAAGGTAGAAATTTGGGAAGTAGATGTCACACATACACTCTATGGAATGCTACTCAGCCATTAAAAACAAACAAACAAACAAAAACAGAACCTGGCATTTGGTAGTGGATGAATATAGATTTACTGCTGAGTGAAGCAAGCTAGGCTATGAAAGAGAGACATTGCATATCTCCACTTAATGTGTACCAGTGTCCACCCTCAATGGCAGAAACTGAAGACTAAAGAATATAGAAGCTTGGAAAATGGTTACAGGTTCTGGAGACAGTGTGGGAAGAGGGTGAGAGAAGTAGAAGAGGGTGAGGAAAGGAATCAAGAAGGAAAGTAGGCAAGACATTTATGGGACATAGAAATGGATGATTATCTGTTAATAACATATGTATTATCTTCAACTGGACTAGTTTGAAGTATTCATGCTGGGTAAATTCAGTTTACAAGCTTTAGCGATGTATAGTGATTGAATGTATAAAATAAAATAAAAAAATTAGGGAGAGAGCAATTATCTGTCACTTGTAGATTGAATTCTGAAGCTTTGTTCTAAAAACTGTTTTCTCGAAAAAGTTATACTGACCTCTGAGTCGAGATTACTTATAGACTCTAGAATGAAATTGCCTCCTCTGAAGAGCCATTTTTGACTATTATTTAAAAATCTAAGGAATGGAGGACAGCTAGCAGTGTGGTGGTTTAGATGACTAGATTGCACATGGCTAGATATGCAGTTTGAATACCAGACCCCAACAGCTTATGAAACACATCAGGCATGGGTACCAGCAATTGATGTAGTGGTTATATCACTGCACTCCCACATATCCAGCCAAGGTTCAAGTCCCAGACCAGAAAGCTTAAAACTCATGCCAGGCACATGTGCTTGCATGCTGAAAATCCCAAGAGCAGAATGGAGGAGAATGGATGACGGCGAGGCCATTCCCCCAAGGGGTGAGGGTGCGTGTGTGATTTCTTGCTGCCTCTCTGTTTCTCCAGCGAGCACATGCATCCTGGGCTAAAATCTCCCTAAAAAAGAAAAAAAGAAAGACAAAAGAAAAACCATCTTAGGTGTGTGTGTGTTGGCCACATACTGAAAATCCCAAGAGCAGAATGGAGGAGAATGGATGACGGCGAGGCCATTCCCCCAAGGGGTGAGGGTGCGTGTGTGATTTCTTGCTGCCTCTCTGTTTCTCCAGCGAGCACATGCATCCTGGGCTAAAATCTCCCTAAAAAAGAAAAAAAGAAAGACAAAAGAAAAACCATCTTAGGTGTGTCTGTGTTGGCCACATGTGTATGCATACCCAAAATCCTAAAAAGACAATGGAGGAAGGATGTGGCATGACCATCCCCTATGGGAGGGGTCTCTCTTTCTCTCTCTCTCTCTCTTTCTCCAGCAAGTGCATGGACACTCTTAAAAATTAATTTTTTAAAAAATCTAAGAATTGGGACTGGCAGGTGGTATAGTGGTTAAGGGTGTTAGACTCCCACATGGCTGACTGTGGTTCGAGTCCTGGACCTGGCAGCCTGCTTCCCTACTTTCCTTCTCTTGCTCTATCCCTCTAGTCAAATTTAAATAAATAAATAAATAAAGTTAGATAAAATAATCCTTTAAAAAATAATAATTGAAGTTTGAATGGAGCATAGGTGTATTGCATTATCGGGTAAACAAATGTGACACTATAGAACACTAACCTGACAGGCAATTTTTTTTTTTTATGACTACTGAGTTAAGTAAATTTTTTGAGATACTAAGTGGAATAAACTAGAAGTTCTAAATAGAACTCAAAGAGCAATAGTAGCCAATGTTTATTTAAAAGGCCTATACTTTCCTGTTAGCATTAAGGATCAATAAAATTTTTATTTTTTGTTCTACTGATGTTGCATTACCATTCAGTCCATGTAGCATTATAACTAATCTTCAATCCACTTGGATTTTAGGTGTTAAAAATGGACCAATAAGGCATCATGTTTTTGATGGCTCATGTGAAGGCTTTAAGGATCGCATCAGTTCTCATGAGGAATCAAAGAAAAATGGGAAAGTCAAAAAGGTTGGTGCTTGAAAATACTGTTTTAAACTTTCAAATGCTGCTACATCATAATGTTCTGCTCTAGGCTGATGAAACTTAAATTGGTCTATCTCACATAGGTCTTATTTTAAAAATTGTTTATGGGTGACTGTTACAAAACTTTGGATATAAACCTGGAGCATTGGTTGCATTCAGAGCAAAGAGTTACTAAGACCAGCCTTATGATGCAGCAGTTAGGCACTGTGCAGAGAAAGTTGGGTCCCACACGACTGAACAGCCTTGGAGTTTAGAATCATTGACTTGAAAAATACTTCAGGCATGCACAAAAACATGTCCAGAATCTTGATGGAACATAGAACTAGAGGAAAAAGGATTGCAGAGTGACCAGGCACATCCTTTCTCTCTCTCTCTCTCTCTCTTTCTCTCTCTCTCTCTCTCTCTCTCTCTC